TAATTCAAAATTCGTTGAGTTTTATAATTTCTAAATTTTTGAAATCTGAGATAAGAAATATGTTTTTTTATTACAATTTTTAACATAAAATATTATATATTATAGTTTATTTAAATACTTGAAATTAAATTTTTTGGTGATTTTTTAATATTTAAATAATATTATTATTGTAATATTATTAATTATGAATGTTGGTTTCCATAGAATACAATTATTGTACAATGAACTAGTACTTCTTTAAACAAAAAATATAATAACATTAATCAAAATGGTTGTATAATCAATTGTTAAAAATAAACTATCGCAAATTATTATAAAAAATAATACAAAATGTTAGTTAAACTTCTACGCGAAGGTCTAATTTCTTTTCATTAATCTCTGTACAATTCGTTGATTTGTTTCTGCATCTTTTCTGTTCTTTTCATTGCGAAGTCATCAATTTTTTCTTGAGAAACCCCATCGTCAAGTCCTGAATGTGCCGCCACTTCATCATCGACTTTTACAACCAATTTGGTGACTTGGTCAAATGTTGGTCTTTCTTTACCGTCTTGCTTCCAACACGATTGTATGAGTTGCGCATAGTCAGATGGCATACTTTCATCAAGGCGAAGTCTTTTTCCGTTGATGACGTGGTCTTTAATCTCAAAAATAGATTTGAACTCTTTATAAGGCTCTGCTTGATAAAAAATTTCCCAAGCTGTAATGCCGTAGGAATAGACATCGCCAGAGTATGTATATTCGTCGTGAAATGTTTCTGGAGCCGCATATACAGGAGTCCCAAGCCCTTTGTCTTCATTCTTTTTCATTGTCTTTTTAACAAATCTTGAGGTACCAAAGTCTGTAATCTTGACCGAACACACAGAGTGTGGGTCGAGTGAATTGACCAATAAATTGTCTGGCTTTAAATCCAAGTGCATGATTCGATTTTCATGTAAAAATTGCATTCCTTTTGCTGTATCAAACAACATACGCACTTTCAACTTGTATGGGAGTTTCAAATAGTCTTGTTTGTCTTGTCTTAGATACTCACCTAATGAACCCAAAACAAAGAACTGAATGACCATTGAAACCTGTGGAATATATGTAACTGCTCCCATGTAATTGGCAATGAATGGATTTCGTAATTTACTCATAATATCACATTCAGACTCAACTTCTCTTTTCAATTCCTTCATCTCTTCATCTGAAAGACTCTCCCATCTAAACTGCTTGATAGCAACTGGTACACTTCTGTAATTGCCAATGTACACTTTACCCATTGCTCCTTCAGCGATTGGATTTTCTGACATATTCAACTCGTCCATATCCAAATGGACTGTATTCATGGCATCTGTTGTTATAACCAAATTTTCATAGTGCCGCCTTTTTATATTTTTACAAAGACTTTCCATCTTCTTTCTATCATCTTCAGTCCAATTCTCAAAACTTTTATTCTTCAATAATGATGCAACTGATTCTAAAATGCTTCTTGAAGATGCAAACCAGACAGAGTATGGTATTCTCAAGTCTCTGATTCTAGTTGTGCAATGAATTGTCATAAAACAAGTCATGGTATGCATTGAAGATAATCTTGGTCTTAAGTAAAGAACTTGTGGATCGAAATAAAATGTGTACTTTGGGTTGTTTGGAGTGTGAAAAATCACCATCATCCATTTGTTTTTGGAGCAATTTTTAATTTCCATTTTCTCAAATCTGGTATCGCCAATAGCAGTCAATTTGGTATCATTTCCAAAATCAAGTCGTGTTGGGGTTATGTAATATCTTGACTGTTTCCCACTAAGTGCTCTTGTTGCTCCAGTGATATAGAAGTGATAAATTGGTTGTTGTGTTTTGTAGATGTTGATATCAATTTTCTTGTATCTAAATACAAAGATAAATACAATTAAAAGGAAACAAAGGATAATAACAAATGCAACTACCCCTCCTATTACTATTCCAGTTATTTCACCAGCACTTAACGTCTTTTGCATACAACTCAAAGGATCACTTGAAGATTGAACATGGCCCTCTATACATTGGCAAGTGATATTACAGTTAACTCCTCCATCACACTCTTCTTTTCTAATGAATTTTCCATTGGAGTCATAGTAATTGTCTATCATACCATTACCACATTTATCACTTACGCAAACTCCAGATTTTGATGTGTAGTTCAAGGACGTATCACATGTACATCCAGTTTGACATCCTTCACTTTTTTGTTTACATTCATCCCCACTTCCAAGCTTACCATTTCGACATTCCGAAGTGACACAAACATGGTTTTGTACACTTTTTCCTTGGGTGCATTGACAATACTGGTCACAGTCTTTTGACCCAAAATAACATAGATTTGCCTCTTCATTTACTTGCCATCTTCCATTGTAATAACACATAAGGTGACAATCTTCTCCACCATAACCACTGTTACATACACACTTTCCTGCATCTGAATCACATTTACCAAATCCATTTTCCAAATTGCAATTATTGGGACAAATGATAGATACAGTCATGATAATTGATGCTCTGTAATCTTCTGACAAAAACGACAAGTATTTCTTTTTCCCATCTGAATCAAGTTTGACATGAACTCCATTGGCTTGCCCCACTTCATTGTCCTCTTCTCTATTTTCAATTGAAAGCAGTTTTTGACCAGTACTAACTTTTACACATCCTGTTGACACCAAATTGTTATTTTCATCAGATTCCATATTTACTTCACTCAAGTAAATGACTCGATTTGATGACCTCGTATCTATGAATACATACCCTTTCCCTTCATATTGTACAGTAAATAATAACGCCTTCATATATTTGTTTGGTATACAAGCGGGACGTGCGAAATAACCAAACTGTTCAAATGGAATAACAACTGGCAACTTTTTTGTTAAGTCCTCAGAAAGGTCTTTTAACACTTCTTGAGTCAAATCAAATGCAGGTAGAACCTTCAAACCTTGTTCTTCTTTGAGTTCAATAGAAAATGTCAACTTATTTGTAAATCCACTGATTGAAGCAAAAAAGTAGTAATAATGTTGACCCGTTGAATTTTCCTCAACCTCGAGTTGAATTGGAAACTTTCCAGTCGTTTCATAAATAGTTTTATTTAAATTAAAGTGGACATAACAATGTGGATTGATATTGTAATATTGTGAATTTGTTCCATCCACAGAAAAATCAACTACATTCTCGGTGCTGTCCAACTTCTTAATTGTGATGGCAAGATGATCTTTAGTCATCTGTGAAAGGTTAAACTTAAACCATCTTCCTTGTCTAAACTTCTGTGGGTAGCAACATATTGAAAAGTCGACATAACCACTTTCTTCTATTGTATAATTTTTTGACTCATTCAAATTAATTTCTTCCAAATACTCTTCAGCAGGCAACCAAGTAGAACGTGGATCCAAAAACGCCTTTTTGGTAAATTTAACACAACTTAAGTCGTCTTTTAACAAATAGACTGGAAAGTCGTTCTCAAATTGATCAGTGAATTTACAATAATTACAACTGTTGTCTTTATCATATGCATCACCACAAGTTCCAAGACATGTGTAATTTGCATTGCAATTTGTTGTACATCCAGGTGGACAAATTAAATTTTCAGCTAGTGTAATACAAATCAGAAGAGTTAAACTGATTAAAACCAATTGTGTTGGGTTCATTACTGAGTCTTTGGATTATGAGTTGATCACAACCTTATATAGATGATCCCACAATCGTCAAAACCGTTTCTTTTGCGTCTAATTTATATTTTAACTCCAGTTTAACCCCTAAAAGATCATGTTTTAACTTTTTTCAAACGAATTAGAAATATTCCCATCCATTTAGTATTATTATTAATTTGAATTTTAAAAACAGTAAAAAATAATACACCAAATTCAAAAAGGTGGACAGGCGGTTTTATTCATATAAAACGGGTCTTGAATGATCTACTACCATAACAACAATGAAGAGCAAAACCGAGTTAGTCCAAAAACCATTACTTCACATTGTGAACTTTTGGCAATATAAATAAAATATAATTATAATAACAAGGGGTAAAAGGGAATTTATGGGTTATGATTGCCAACTGAAGAATAAGTTGGCAATATGACACTATTAAACAACTTGATATTGAAAAAAGGTGCAAAAGACAAGAAAAAATGTAACAAAAACGAATTTTGGTTTGTTCAAAGTAGAATAAAAATTTTTAAGTATTAACAAGCTTTGATGATTGAAATTTTAAATTTAAATTACTGTAAACGATTAAAATTATTTTTCAAAATGGAATTTTTGATTCAATTAAATAATAAAACATAACTAATCATTATCATTGTTGTATTCTTATCTACCCGTCATTCTGGTTGCTTAAGTATTTTTACAAATGATTCAAATCATAAGATAGAATTCAGTTTGCCATTGTGTAATTACAACCATCAACAGAGTGTCCAAAAATTTGCAGATAAGTCCCAAATTAAAAGTTTGAAATTATAATCCCGTTTTGAGAGATATTTTAATAATAATAAAAAAACAAAATGAATTTTTGGAATTAATTGTTTCTATAGATTCTTTTTTTACATTGTATAATAAATACAAGTAAATAAAGTACTATTACCAGTTTTGGGAACTAACATCATTATATTTCAAGACTTGATGGCGGATTAGCAAAAATACATCGAAAACTCCATTTAATATTAACATGTTTTAGAGTAATAGTAACAATAATACCAGCAAATCAATGATCGAATGATGATGCTCATTGTTGATCCTTTTTTCTTAATAATCCTAAATTTCCCGTAGTATACTAAAAATTGTGTCTTTTATTATTTGCAAAAACAGTTTTGGGTTCTGTTTATTTAATATAATTATTTAACTATAATTTTTAATTTATATATTATAAATCAAAGTTAAGTACTTTAAATCGACAATCATGCTCTGAGCAGCTTCAGGACTCTAATTTTGTAAAAAATTCGTCTATTTTTGTTTTTATTTCAAAAGAAAATAAATTTTATTTTCCAATTTTCACAAATTATTACAGTTTTTAGTTGTAAGTTGTTACCACATAAACACCATCAAATAATTGAAACAGCTTCTTTTCCAAATATTGGAGATAAATCGGAACTATTAAATAATTATGTTTGAAAACTATAACTTATTTAATTAATAATTACTAATATTAAGGCGACCTTGAAGATCCATCAAAATGCTTGGGCTGACAATAATTATTTAAAGCCAAAAACATACGTAAAATAATTAAGAACTTGTAAAAAAAAAGGTTTGAAATGCGTGTCAAATAATTATAGATATAAAAAAATAATTAATTAATTATTTTTTATGTTAAAAAGTGATTACAAAAAAAATTATTTGGTAAACAAAAAAATAATTGTATTTCTTTATAATTATTCATATTCAAACAATCGTATTTTAATTTAAAAATGTAGTTTTTGATATTCACACATACAGTTAAAAATATGACAAGACATGGAATGATAAATAAATAATTAACAATCATGTTTAAATGGAATTGTTGATGTAAACATAAACTAAAGAGAACAATTGTTTATGACATATTTTTGATTTATGAATATATCTTTTATATTTATAACGGGTGTGACTATTTTAATTGTGTAACTACATTAAAAACGATTATTTTCCAATAACTCACTGTCGATAATAACATGTAAATAACTTTATTGAATATATATTATCTTTTTAATTTATTATGTCTGATTACACACATAAATAGCACATTATGAAAATGACATCACAACTGTTTTTGAATAGTGAAATAATAACATGATAATACAATTACTTTTAATGATTGTATTTTGATAATTAATATAACATGATTCACTTTTATACTCAATACGCTCATTGTAAAAACGGATAAAATTATTAAATGTGTAAACTTTTTGAGTGTGTAAACATATAATTTCAAATTAAACAAATACATAAATATTATATTATAAAAAGAATGTAAATAAATATTTTTACTACTTGTTGTTCACAACCCATTTGTACATGTTATGAATAAATAAAATATATTTACTGGTTAATATAACTGACAATTATATTAATTTTGTTTATGATAAATAATCAAATATACACATGAACAAAAAAATGTTGATAATAAACCAATTTGTTTTTTTATTACATTGGTGTTGTCTCTTAGATACGATTAAATATATTTTATAAATTTAATTAAAAATATTATTCTGTTTTATTAATATTCAATTTGAAAACAATTGAATTGTTATTAAATGTTTGTGTATTACTTAGATAACATGTGCGTCGTATTATAAATCCAAAAAACAAACATTTATGTTTTAATGCACTTTTATGTATTATCAAAAGAAATAACTGTTATAATAAAAATATGTATATAATTGAATTTTAAAATAATCATCAAAGTGTATTTATTTTTTTAAATGACTAACTTAATTAACCACAACAAAGAACTGGAATCAATTTTATAATTTTTTTATTGTCTGCTTTTGCTTTTTGATGATAGAATATTGATTTTTATATCTTATGTATATATAAGAGAGCAACAAGTTAATAGCAAAAATGTTTTAAGCTGTGCTATTCCAGTAATTTCAGTGTAACGATTTTAAATCCAGGTTTGATATTCACGTTTTCACACTAAAAATTTATCACGTTTTATTTTTGACATTTTATAAAAATGAAAATGTTGTGATTAACAGTGAGACCTGATATATGATCTGTTGTTATTAAATTATTGGAATTAATAATCAATACATGTTTCTATTATATATAATAATAATAATTATTGTGATGTTACTGAAATATTATATGTTTAATTGTGTGTTTTTACATGAATAATAAGAAAACGATAGTTAAAAAAATAATCGTATATAACAACTGTCTTATATGTTATTATCAACAAAAGTTGTTGAATGAAAATTGTGCACATCGACGTAGTTACACAATGAACTTGATGATAATCGTTTATTTTTATTTTAATGTATATCATAATCATTACACAAAAGTTACTATTTACAAACAATAAATTCAATGTAATAAACAACTATAATTTAAGTGGAAATTTAATTTGAGAATTATTATAGTATCAACACTGTTGTATATTTGATTTTTTTTGTTTATTTAAACGTTTAATTGTGTAGATAACTTTGTTATGAAAATTGATAAAACGATCTGTTAAAGTTAATGATAATTTTATTTAACCAATTCATCAATGTGTAAAATCAGAAAAAAAATGTGAAGTTTTAAAAAATATTTTTTTGTTATTTGGTAAAGAGGAAAGTAAAATGCCGATTTACAAAAAAAATAATTAATTCAACCCAAAAGATCTTGGGATTACTTGGGTCGTGACAATCTCGAAGGTCGCCTTTAATAATTTACAATAATTTTTTTTATTTACAAGTTTAACTATTTTTAAAACTAAAAAAATTATTGAAGCCCACTTGCATTTTTTTATATATTCAACTAAAAAACCACTAATAGAAAGGAATTGTTTTTAAATATTATTTATTTTTTGTTAAATAATTCAGTAAGGATTTTGTTGAACTCAACACTTTGAATATTCTTAAAACATTCAATAAATTAAAAAATGATGAAATGTTAAAATCAAGATATCTCAACATAAAAAATCATTTCACTTTATAAAGTATTCATTGGAAATGTCGAATAAAGTCATGTCAAGATAGAACGTATGGGTAATTTGAAAATTCAATACATAATATAAATAACGTTGTAAGACTTAAATAAAAACCATTATTAATATTTTTGTTGAATTTTTTTTTATTTTGAAACTCCATTGTATTAGAGTTTTATCATTATGACTATTTTGTATCTTCTTTGAACGTTTTTATTTAATCAATTTTAAGTAATAATTCAATGTGTCATAACACGACTTAATAAAAATACAACCTTCATTTAACACTTTATCAATAAATAACACGAATTCCTGATTAAAGAGTATTTTATTTGAAATTTTTTAAATATTGTTTAAATACAAAGCATGAATAAAAAAGGTATATTTTTATTACAAATTGTAACTTTTTAAAATAGAAAATGATATGTTGTGGAGTTATATTTATTATGTTTATTAGATAATACAATAAAATTTTAAAACAATTAAGTAAACATAAAAATAAAGAAATATATAACATCAGTGATTGTGTAAAGAAAAATTATCTATTTTATAAATAAAACATTTTCTAGTAAAATAAATTGATTTTATTATTTATAATAGTTAAATAAAGAATGGAAGAAAAAAAGCATTATTTAGCGTCTCTAAGTTCTTTATCATCGAGCAACACGTTGATGGTCGACAAATATCCTTTCTGTGAGAACGTTGGATTTTTCGGGATGATTTCCTCGATAATGCCTTTTCTTTTCAAGAATGGGAAGAGGATATTATCTCCGACAGTTCTTTGATTGACGCAATCATCCGCATTGAAGTCTGTTTCACGAACGAGTTGTGGTAATAAATCTTCTGGGACAATCATGTTATCCAACAAAGGCCCAAACACGCGCACGTCTTTTTTCCTATAAATTTCTATAGCATCGACTCCACACATTCCTGGCTTCACAACAATACGAGCACCTTTGACTTCATCTTTGAATTGAGTTTCTTCGCCATTTTCGTCCCAGACAGTCACAACATTCTCGTCGAGAACTTTTATCTTTTTCTCTTCATTCCCGTTCGTAGGAATACGTAACATTTCATAGTAAATTGCTTCGCGTGTTGAGGACTTGAAGTATAACACGGTACTTCCTTCACTCCCATTTCTCTCCAAATTCCCGCAATACCCATTGAATTTACTCATCTCAATCTCTTCTCCAATACCACGCGAGAAGTTGATATACCTCTTTGACGCTTCTTCCTCCTTCAAAACCATGTTCTTGTCATCACCCCTTCTCACGTAAACGATACTCAAGCCATGGGTACGTCGACTTGGAGTTTTATCGAGGCCTATAATACTCGCTCTAAATTTCTCATGGGATGGCAAAGATGTGAGTCCCGACGAGATCGCGAGTGCGTCGATGAAAAAGAGTTCTGTCATGAGCATACCCGTTTTAATTGGTTCGATGATCCCAATTGGCATCTTTTCGACAACGCGGGGTGGCATGATTTCGATCTTCTGTTTAGGAATGGCTTCCAATTGTTTCCTCATCGACACGCACTCGTCCGTCACCATCTTTAAGTTCCCAAAGAAGTCTTCTCTCTTCTTAATTTCAGTTGGGAAGTCCCAAATCAGTTCTTCTGGGGTGCTATCAATCAATTTTGAGATATCGTTGACATCAGTATAGATCTTCTCCGGTACAACACCATTCCCTTCAGTCACCTTTCCTAAGATCTCCAATTTCTCAACGGTTTTACTCCACCCAGTCACTTGCGCTTCGTCAAAAGTAAACACAAACCGACCAACTGAGTTTCTCACAGTGATAGTAACAACGTCGGACTCATGGGGATGCGACAGAGAGTATATCGTGTTGCCATTACAGAACCACATCGTGGTCTCCGTGATATCATCACCAGGGGAATTCACCATCATAGCAGCCTCTGTACCTAATGCGGAGAAGTATGTGCCTAAATAAGCTTCTGCAGCTTCGGGAGCAACAGCTTTATATAACCCATTGTGTGTCGAGTCCATGTGTAACGCAGATGCCAGTCCTTCGACTATTTGTGGGCCAATTTCAAGGGAATGGACAACAGGGGATATTTCTGGGGATAACAAATACTCCAACATAGCAAAGATGAGGCATCCCGAAGTTTGATTACTTAATGAAGGAATCGATTGGAATGCAGTTGAGTGTAATTCTCTAAGAAGAGGGACGGGGAGGACTGGTTTCAGTCTTGAGAATGAAGAAATGATCTGACAGACTGTTTGGTATCTTCCTGTTGGTAAATACGCCAAAATACACTTCAAAATATCAAGAGGCAATTGCGTGTTGTTCTTCTCCACTACTAACAAGTGTAAATGGCAAGCCATACTCCACAGTAATGTGTCTTGCGAAGTCTCGTCTTGGAAGAGGGTCATCAAATGCTTTTGCGCTGCGAAGAACGCGTCTGGGAATGGTCCAAGAGTCTCTTCAAATTGCATGATCTGCAACACAGAGGGGAACATCTTTTCACAGTACAACATCGAATTTAACAATCCAATGATTTTAGTAGGAACGTTTTCATGTGATTTCTCAGGTACAACTCTTAATTGTTGGAGCATAGATATCATTGGAACTATCAATCTTGTACATCCCGGCATTCTTAACGAAAAGACATCTTTTAAAGCTAATAAGAAGGCATATGGATCTTCTGGAATTAATGGGACTACACTCTCATAGAAGGTAGAGTACGCTTCAATGACATATCTCTTGTCATTCACAAACAAGTCGCACAACCCAAGTCCAGCAATGCACCGAATAGCCGGATCTTCTACAGAAGAGAGCGCACGAAGGTAATATGTCCCAAAGACGTCCATCAAATTGACTTTGAAAGTCGGGTTAAATTTGATGAGTAATTCCCCGACTAATCGAATCGTCCCAACAACATCTTTCACACCGGGTTCAACACATGTCTCTTGTAACATGAACCAAAGGCCTTCCCACAACTCAAACAATTCAACTGATTTGAATGTGAGCATATCAGAGAATGTGGGGTCTTTCTTCGGGAAGACATAGACGGCTTCTGTCGTCTTATATCGAACTGTTGGGTTATTATTAGCGCCTTGGTCAACTTGTTTTGGGGTGATGAGGTCTAATGTGACGTGCACGTACTTCTGGCAGAGTTGTTTAAGTAATCCCACGGAGGAATAGAACTGATGTAACATGTCATATAATTTACTGTACGCAGTAGCAGAGTGACGCCATTTGACGTATAACATGATGATGGTATCGGCTAAAGACCCAACAGCGTCATCTCGGTAACAGACTAGTAATTTATTAATATTATTTACTAATGTGGCTATTAAGAGATCTTTCATGTCATCCATCAAGTCCAAATCGTGTCGTAGTAGTTCCATCATTTCGACATGAAGCGCGGCAGTAAAGTCTTGAATCATTGGGTTCATTTCAGCACGCTCAAATGGGATGTCTGCACACTGCACAACAAATCGTCGGAACTCAAGTAACCTCTCTGGTCCTAAAGCTTCCTCAAACGCCGCCGCCGTATCTGTTTTTGCGACAAATTGTGTGAAGAAGAACGTGAAATAGTTCAACCCGTTCTTATACTTCTCTGGTGAGAAATTAAGAGCAGTCGACAAAATGTACTCTAAAAATGGGACGGCGCCATTCTCTGCAAAGAAAAGCGTCTTCACCTCGGACCCAATGAGTTTCCTGAGCTCAGTGAGGACTATTTCCATTAGCCCAATTGGCACTTCCGACAGTCCACCGGGTGGGATGACACACGAGAGAGTGATAGTCTTAGAAAATGAAGGCAACAACAATGCGCAGATGTGTTCTGCAATACACAAAAAAGTTTTGTAAGTCTCCTTCTTCAGTAACTTCTCGAGGAACTTGTCGATAAATTCCATCGCAAGTTCTTTTTCAACAACAGAAACACCAATTGGAGTTGGGACAAATGGCTCGTTGACTAACGCAGGGAATGGGGCGTTTGGTGGTAAGTCGATCAAACTCCCGATGTTCATAGTAGATAACAAGAGTCGCGCGAATTGTGAATTGTACTCATTTTTGAATTCGAAAACAGTGAGTAGGGTATCATAAGCAGCTCTTCTAAGTGTTGGGTCTGTTCCCAATGACAAGTAATTTTCTAAGAGAGTGAAGAGGGACTCGAAGACATGGAATTCGTTATAAGGAAATACTTTCCCAGCAAATTCGACTAATTTCAAATGGGACATCGCTATTTTTGCAGATTGTTTTCCTTTTTTACAATGAAGGACTTGACCAGTGGTATACTCGGATAAGACTAATCCAGTGATGGAATGGTTCACTTTACAAAAAGAAACGATGTCACTATCTTCTTCAATCAACGACTGAAGATATTTGAACTTGTTTGCATTCGACTCTTTGGGTTCTAACATCAATGCGCGTTTCTTGCGGATTTTCTTGTCCTTCTCGACTTGCTCCTTTTGCTGTTTGGTCGACATATTCTTGGGGATTTTTCAGTTCTTAGTCCTTCAAACTCACAATTAGAAACGCTTTTCTTTTCTTAACTTCATTTTTGATATTATTAATTGAACTTTTTTGAGTAATTCAATGGGATTAGTATTCGTTTATTTATTTCAATGTGCACTTTTGGGAGGATAATTGAAGATAACACTGGTATGTTTTTCTTTTCAATATGAAATGGTTTTTTATAATTATTAACAGTTTCAAGTAAAATACCAATACTTAATAAATGGAATAATAATTTTTATTATTATATTATAATTTATTTGTTTTTGTTATTTATTTGTTGAAATGCGACTATGGAAAAATAAATAACTTTTCATTATTTTTTTATAATCATTAATTTACTTGTTATTGTATTATAGTTTTGAATAATTATGTAAACTGATTGTTTTATTAAAAAAATTATTCATTAATTTAAAAAAAAAATTAATTTAATTTTGGTTTTTTGAATTTAAAATATAATAAAATAATTTTATCAAAATATTCTTGGTTTAAAATTAAATAAATAATTGATACCAATTGAATCTTTTTAACTCATAACTATTAATTTATAATTTATAATTTATAATTTATAATTTATAATTTATAATTTATAATTTATAATTTATAATTTATAA